ACCCAATTAAAAACCTCCAAATGGGCCAAACTGTCGTAGGCTCTCCGGACCTTCCATTATAATTGAGAGATGAAATGAATAATTCAAGTCATCAAACAAGCATAATGAAATATCCGACGCCTCGAGAGAGGAATATTGGAGACATTGCTGGGCCTTTAGCCTGCCGGTCAACTTCAGCCTGAGATATGCCCGTCAAACCACTCAAAGGTGGCGACCAGATGTGTTACACATTCAGGAGATTTGACAAAAATGGCAAAAGATCTACAACATCTCAAATATTCCTAACTCATACTCATGTGAATCTAGTTCCCAGGATGTGCACTAGATTCACACTTTCATCTCAAGCATGAATATACATAGCAAAATACATCTAAAGCAAATAAAATTTAGATTACAACTACTAAATAGATACATAGGTGTTGACGGTCGTTATCTTTCAGTTTCGACCGTCAATATTACCAAAATAGACGAGAACTAGTGATGCTTGCAATGCATATGTTTGTTAGAATAATAATATTCCACTAGTATTAGGTATACTAACCTTTTGTAGAGAATGATAATAAAGTGGAGGAGAAATGATAAATCAATCGGATGATGTTGAGAACCAGACTTATGTATGAATGGGCCAAGAACTCAGAATTGACGTGACAAACTGGGCCAAAATTCACAAGTCTGCATAGAAGAACAACGGAGGAGGCTACCAGCCGAAATTGGACTGGATTGGGTCGGCCCCAGGTTCGACCGAACCAGCGCCATCCGATCCAGGGCTTCGCCTGGACGGTGTGGATTAGCCCCCAATGGCGGTTGGAGGGTATTTCCGACCATTCCAACCGTCACAACCGTTATTGGGAGGCTATAAAAGGAGTTCTCATTCTCACTTCACTCACACACCTCAAGCAATAGCTCTCTCATTTCTCTCAAGTTTAGTTTAGTAGTATCTAGCTGGTGGAATAGGAATAGAGTAGAAATCAGGAGTCCGGAAGCCTTCGGAAGAGTTCAGGTATGGCTCTAGTAGCTTTTCTCTTCTCTTTTGTAAGCTTTGTACTTTTATTAGAATACTCTTCTAAATATATTTATGGTATTGAAATACTTTCCGAGTATATGAATGCCTACTTTATATTATGTTCATGTTATACTAAATATACGGCTAGCTTATCTGGGAGATGCTTTGGTGCGGGTATATTGTTTGCTTATGCAATTACTCTATGTCATGACGATGATATTAGAGTAGTATCTGGTAGTTTAGACGTGGTGTCTAGATTACGGGATATCATTATTTGGGGTTATATATTGTGGGTGAGAGGTGGGCCGCTGATGGTGACAGCTCAGTACGGGTATTCCTCCGCGCCGGTATATAATCCTAAGTTAATTCCCTGGGGAGGGTATTCCTCCGTATTTAGCCTCGGTTGTATGGTCATAACGGGCTGTCGTAAGGAACTCGGTAGTCAGGGATGGCTTCTCGAAGTACCAGGAGAGCATCGGATAAAGGGTATTAGCTAGTATATCAATTAACTAGAATGTATGTATACTATGTATATTAGAAGTATAGGAATAGATTTTCTTCCTCTTTTCTTTCCACTTAGCTTAGATGATTTATTATGAGAATGAGTAGTTAATGCTGGTGTGTCACTCTACCCTTGGATTATCTTAACCCCTGTTTAGAATATGATTATCACAAGTAATATATAAATTATTAGTCAAGCTCTCTCTACATGATCTTCCCACAGGATAAAATAAATACGATACCCTTGGAATACTCTCGGGTGAAATGCTACAATGGTATATCCGTGCGCTTGCGGATGAACTCTGTAACCATAATATACCAGAAGTATTTCTGCGCCATTGCTGGAAATTATATTTCTAGTGATGTCGTTAAGAAATACCAACAATAGGCCGACCAGCCAAATATAACTATATCAGAGAACAGCGGAAGCTTGACTACCCAATCCTCAAGCACACCGACTAGGGGTTTACCCCATTAAGTTCAAATCCTAGAAGAAGCAGTCGAAACCCGCATCACTCAACTTAAACTAAGCCTATTCCTGCAAAACATAAATTAGACAAAACATGGCAAGACTCAGTACATTACTTGCAAGGGCACTATCGAACCTACATACATGAAAGCTCTAAGTCAAAGGAAGGCTATTTGTGGTCTCTATTTTCAGCATAAAGCCAATTTTAGTTGGCAAACCATTTGTAACGCAATTTAAGCAAATCATTTAAGCAATATGTAAAGCATATTAATCATGGCATGATATCAACATAGATAGACATCATTCCCTTACAACATAACGGGAAGTAAGGCAATCACATCACATATATCAATCTTATCATCATCTCAAATCATTTAGTTTTAAAAACATTTAGAAAGCACAAAATTATACACATAACACATCATCATGTCGCTTATGACCGTGAGCACGGCTAATCGATTAGTTTTTAGAACTCTGCAGAGTTTGTACAGCTTTACCCACATGATGTGAATCGGTCTAGTTTGTCCGGTACCCGTCGGTACCACTATACTCTACACATTGAGTACGGTCTAGAGTAAGGGTGAAAACGGTATGAAAAGTTCCCGACCGTACCAATACCGTTTCGGCAAAACTAATATAATAATAATATTTTTACCGATGTTACCGTTTTCAAAATTTAGTTTTTTAATTTATGTCAATGTGGCATTGAAGTTGGCACTAAATAGATGAATTCATAAATATGGAGATTTCCCGACCGTTTCCGTTCGTTTTCAAAAAAAAAATAAAATAATGTACCGTTTCCGACCATTTCCGACCGTTTTCATCTCTAGTCTAGAGGTCACAACGAGGCTTTTACATTAAGTATTTTCTAACCTTGCATGAGCACGATACGTGTTCCTCCATCCTAGGCCATACACGTTATATGACTGAGAACCATTAAGTGGCGAGCCCACGCCTTAAACTTAACGCCGTGGTAGTGGACACAACGGGAACCCACCAACGTGGCACAGTATCGTTGTATTGGACAGACTTAGACGCCCATGCCATGAGGCGGAACAGTACACTCATCCCCTCATGGAAATCACACACGTAGGGAATTTATCATCCTACGATCACACACTTAGGAACAGTACACTCGTCCTAAGGTTCAACACACACATGGGTAGTTCCTCTAGGTAGCCCACAGTACACTCGTGGCCCCTACCTATACTACAACGGCCTCCCGAATAAAAGGTTAGACAAGTGCTTAACTTAATAGGCCAAGATCCCCCCATAAAGACACATGTGGATGTACGGTAAACACAATGGATGATATCATGTTTGGTCCTTAATCGACTCAGGCGAACACTCCCCCTATCGGTATGCAACTACTACCATATGCATACCACTTGCCGCCCAAGTCTAAAATTACATTTTATCTCATTTTATTTCACAAATAATCAGAGAATCACCTCTGTCCATAATGTTCAAAAGGGTTTTCAAAAGTATAATAAGTGATCCATAACCATGTTTTTATTTATTACTAGGCAAGGCTAAGCATTTACACTTTATAAAAGCATAGCATACTCATATGAGCACAATTAAAGTAATCTAATTAATCCTAAGGTTCAAAACAGCAAGGGGTGATTTTAAAAAGGGGATTCATGCATCTTTTAAAGGTAGAACTACAATCTATAGTTTTGAAAGTACCGTTAATCAGAATTACGCGTGCAACTTTACAATCAAAATATTTAGCCCAAAAATATAGGATTCAATATGTTCAAAAGAATGGCAACACTTGCCTTGGTTGATATGAGACCTTCCTAGCTATAAATCCAATCACCTCACTGATAACGAATTCACCATCTAAAAGAAATAACGGTAACGATAAATGCCAAAACATATAAAAATTCAAAATGCTCTAAAATGCATGAGTTTACTAGTGTGGTTAGGTACTGGTCTAAGATGAATTTAGGTGAAAGAATTTATATTTTATTACTTTGCATTAGGGAGTTATAAATTTTCAAAGTTTAATACTAGCACTAGATCAATTAAGCTCTAGTAGTCCTTAGGTGCATTTTAGGGTCAAGTTTTGTGAAATTCTAGCTTGCTGCAGTGAAGGGAATGCTCACAGGAGTTCAACAAAATTGGTTTCATAATTTTTAAAGTTAGCATGATTTTATTATGAATTTTACAAGCTAAGTGATTTATTATAGTAGTTGTTAACTATTTCAAATTTTATACAAGTTTTGGGTACTGTAAGTGCCATATTTTAATTTATAAAAACTAAGTACATGATTTTGCCAATCTAACAGAACTGGAATCACTTCATTTGCAGTTGTATTCATTTTGATATGAATTTCAGAAGTTTCTAAACCGTTCTTTAATATTAACTCATTATTCAAGTTTTAGTGATGTTTCTAGATATGTTTTCTTCTAAGATTTGTTTACAGAACTAATGTACATGCCTCCATGAAACTAAAAAAATTTTAGTTTTGCCCATTTGGAGTTAAAATGAATTACTTATGGATTTGATAGTTTCTAATTTACACCATCCTAGTTATTTTACCAATTAAATAGTTGGTGATGATTTTAATACAGAACGTATCAAGTTTTAGTTCATGTAAATCAAGCGTATGATTTTGTGAGCACACTGGAACTTGGTTCACTCCAAATTAAGTTAAGATGAATTTTATATGAATTTCTAAGTTAGAGATTGCTCTATGTTCATTAATTGTTATGTGAATTATTAGAGCTATTTCTTCTACTGTAAGTGCCAAGTTTTATGTTTCTAAATTAAAGTTCATAAGTTTGTGAGTTCACAGAAATTTGATTCATCACAAAATGGGCTAAAATGGATTTTATATGCATCTTACAAGTTTGGTCATTTTTCTGTTGAACAATTATTGGTTTGAGTATTTTTCTTACTGTTTTCCAGATTTTAAAAGGATTGGGTCCACCGGTCAGTGAGGAAAATGTGCAGAATAGTCCCTGGAGTTTCTAGGATTAGGTCCCGACGTCCCTAGCACATGTCTAATTCTATTTTCATTAAGAGTGCTCAAGTTTTTGTATATTTATAATTAGATTCAGGTCCCACATGTCATGCTCTAGTTATTTACAAATAGAACCCTACATGATTTAAACTATTTTCTTTTTTTTAACGGCTCGCACAAGACGGTGCGAATTTCTATAGAGAAGGAAAAAATTGCAAGATTACAACCCTAGAGGGTCGTAATCAGGAAAAAGGAAAATAAAAACCACCACCCACACACCGACAGCGCCAACACACACGACCGGAGAAGGTTAGTACCGGACCGGCCGCCGCTAAATGTGACCGGCCGCCGATTTAAACTATTTTCTAATTACAGTTATTGGTGCTTAATGAAGTGGGGTCAACCTGTCATAGGCTCGGCAGAGGAGGAAACAGCAGCAGCATCAGAGCTTCACCGGCCGGCGGCTTGACGTCGATGTCGGCGGCGAACGGCGGCGAGGCCGACGTCGCACCCAAAATGAGAAAAGTGCGCCAGGCTCTTGCGCACCCGACGATGTTCGCCTTGTCGCCGAAGATGGCCGGGATTGATGCCGGAGGCAGCGCGAGCGGCAGTGGCTTCAAGGCTACGATACATATGAAGTTATGAGCTTGCCCTGGACAAATCGATGCATGCATGTGTGTTTAAGGGTGTCCAAGAAGCTCACCAAACCGTGCACAGGGCTAGGGAGGTCCTGACAACGTAGAGACATGGCGGTGGCAGCAAAAACTCCGGGAAGACGACGCTAGCTTAATTCCCGCAACGAGCTGCCATGCATGCGATTGCTCGGTGTTAGCTAGGTCATAGGGATACTCCATATGCGAGGAATTTGTTTTGAGCTCACCGGAGAAGAAGGAATCGACGACGGCGGCGATTGGCCGGAGTTGAGGAAGAAAGTAAGGATCTCTTTGTCGGCGGCTCTTCAGCGCGATTCGCTTGGATGGCCTCCTCCTGGAACCTTGGAGAAGATGATGGTGCAGCGGTTTGCTCTGAGATGGACGAGATCGACGGGAACGGCGGCGCAACGAGCGGCGGCGCTCTGGACACCGAGGACACCGACGAGCTCGACACAAGATGTTCGATCCATGCAACAGGCAAAACAAAGGACATGAACGAGTTAGGCATTATTTACAGATCATTTTTCCATGATTATTGTGCGGCGAAGCTCACCAGAGGTCTCTAAGATTGGATCAAACACCTTCGGATTGAGAGAAGAATGAGATGTTCTAGGCTTCTCCGAGGTTTCGTAGTGTTTTGCCTAGTGGAACACGATGAGGGTGTGACGAATATTGCTGTGGCTAGTCGGTTTAGTTAATGGTGAAGATTGAGGTGGCATGGTGAAAGCTAGGTGTCCATATGTGGTGTTGACACGATTTTGAGTGAGTTGGCATGGTTTAGGCTGTGCTACCACTTATACCTTACCCAATGTAGTTATAATGACTGTCATGTGGTCTCATTTAGTGATTTCCTAGGAGAAGATGTGAGGTATGGTTAGGTTCTAGGGTGAAAATTGATTTATACTCCCTCTCTCTTTCTTTGTCTTTGATTTAAACAAAAGAAAGATCAATGGAGTGTTTTTAACTAAGGTGTATAGCTGATGTGTGAATGATAAGTGGGTCCATGTAGATGCTTCCTAGAAGAATTAGTGAGGTAGGGTATGAATTTGGTGAAAATTGTATTTTAACTCTTCTCTCACCTTTTGAGAAATGAAAAATAAATTAAATGAGAAGTATGTAGATGATGAGTTGGCTGTGATGAGGATCTCACATGGGTCCCACAATGGCTTGGTCCCACTTGTAAGAGAGAGAAATAGAACAAGAGGCCTAGAAGCTTTAAATTTTCAAAGTGTTGAATTTATTCTAATATGTGGTTTTAATCCCTCTTCTCTCTTCCATTTAATTTAGAATTTTGGGGAGACAAGGTTGCTGCAAAGTGGACAAGGATTTGATGGTTCAATGTGCCAAGTTTCAAGATTTAATTACTTTTTGAGTTACCATGGTAATTTAGTAAAGTTACTATGTTGACTGCAGTCTAAATATTGTTTAAGCAACTTGTGGTTCTTATTTCATATGGTTACATTTTGAATTTAATTAAGTCATTCACCAGGTGGTAGAGTATACTACAGTTAACATTCTGACCAAGTGGTTTAGCTAGATAAGTTATGGTTAAATTTTGGTGAAGGTGTAAAGTAGGCTAAATGATATGCTGTTTTTCCATATTTCTAGGTGAGTTGTTGGAACTATTTGAGGTACCAATTGATGTGATAAATTAAAACTAAAATTACTGTAGACTTAGGATGTTGTTTAGTATTTATGAGAATTTTGGTGCAATTTATTGTTGCTTGATTTATTTTTAGGAGTTTTCTTTAGAAATGACATGCATATGAAACCTATTATGAGATGCACCAAGAATATCCAAAAAAAACCTAAAATAATAAAATGCACATACAACCAAGTCTATTTATTTCCATTTTAAGTTTTGCTTATTTTAAATCTTATATCTCCATTTGTTTCTATTTAGCACAAATATTTTGCTTAGGTTAGAAATGCAGAACCTAAAGAATTAAATTCCTATTTTATGGTTAAACCAACTTATTTGAATTGAGATTTGTTAACTCAAGATTTTATAAAATCAAATTTTGGCTTAGCTCTAATCTTGTTCCAACAAAACTTTGTGTTTTAATTCTATTTACAGGATTTTAACTCTATTACCAACTAATATATTCTCAATTGCATTAGCTTTCAAAAAGTTTTAAATTTTCCTCAAAATTTTTCCTAGATGAAAATCCTGGTATGTGTCACATACCTGAAATTTTAGGACTTAAAATTTCTTGGCAAAATAGTTATAAGCTAACTTCTACAATTTTAAGAGCCAAAAATTTCCGTTTTAACTTAGGTGGTGAGACCAACCTAAGCTATTGCATAAATAAAATTTGAGAAACAAATAAAGCCTTTTCATTCCTAACCTGAGCATAAATGCAATCATACATGTGTGCACGCATATGCATAAAGGATGACTTGACTTAGGTCCTTAAGTATTTGGATTTTGGTTTGCATCTCATGTTAGGATTCATGAGCATAACCTAAAAGAATTATTTCACTAAGCATATCTATAGCTAACTTTGAGAAGATAACATGTGGACTTAAGGTTAAACTCAAATATCATCTTCTCAGCTTAAAAGAAGTTTAATAAAAAACCCTATAATAATATTAGATGCATTTATGAAGTAGGAACACATATACAAAGAAAGGTCATTCTAATTCTTTAAAATAATCTATGCAAGATAAAATCATGGAAAATTTATGTAAACTATGTTTAGCATAAGAAATTCACTGTAATATTGGTACAAATTAATAACTAAGTTTGATGCGTCAAATTAATCAGTCAAAGCAGACAACTATAAGAAATCAAATTAAACTTTAATCGACTAAAGCCATACTTCATCCAAAAGTACATTTAACTGCACATAAGTGAATATGGTAAATAATTTATTTAAATACTAGATTACTTATCATGAATAAATATATATTTTTTAGAATTTTTATCTTCTGTTTAGGTCTCCTAAAAATTTGATCTAACTTTTGAATAGCCCATCTTTGTCTAATTTCTGTGAGCAGTCTACCCATTATTCTTGGGTGTAACCAAAGAAAATGGAATCTAGATATAAACATCTACCATCAGTAAAATCTACACTAATTATCTACACTAATTAATCTGGTCCACACATTAAATTATGGAGTTACAAAGTTAGAGGAGAAAATAATTCCGAAAATTAAACTAAAAATCAAGTTCACTCAGACTTCTACCCATCTCACTCTCCGTAGCCTTGGTTCCATCGATCTGGGCCCACTCGACAGTGCCTAAGGCTAGCTCCAACCCTGTCCATTACCTCCTCCACCGCTTCAACTGGCAAGCACAGGCGAGAGAGAGAGATCGATGGCAAGAAGGGTGCTCGATGCGTGTTCACTATCGTGGCAGCGTGAAAGCTTCTCCTCCAAAACTCAAAGCCGCGTCACCTCTCATTCACTCTCGCTCTTGAGCCGATGAAACCGAGAGAGAGAGCCCTGCTTCTCCGCCGCCCATAACTCCATCGCCGGCCGCAAGGATGACGACCGTCGCATCGCCTATTGAGCCGCGGTTGTCTCGATCTCTTGTCCGTTCCCTTGTCTCCTCTCAGTGCAGGTTCCGTTCCCCTTAAGTTCAGTCGATTTCATGCAGTGGACGTTCGGGAACGCGGACCTCGCCATCGCTGATCTGGAGCAAGCCTGGAGCGCCGCCGTGGATCGCGTCGCCGTTCCTGTCAATCCGGTGGATCTCAAGCCGAGCTTCTGCCCCACAAACACCACCATGAACTCCTCTGCTAAAGCCCACAAGAATCCCCAAGAATCGTGCACCGACGAGGGAGATCATCGCCGTCTTCTCCAACTCCGGTCGCCGGCCATCGTCGTCAATTCCTCAAACCTGGGAGAGCTTCGGCGCAATTCCTCGCATCTAAAGCATCCTAGGTTCTCTCTAAGCTATTCCCCTCCTCTCCTTGACAGCCCGAAGGCCAGGAGAAGCTGACGCCGTCGCCATGCCATTCTCTGCCGCCGCCGGAACTCTTCTCGGGTCATCGTCACTGTCCAGCCATCGCCGACCCTAGTGTGTCCTTCAGTGAGTCTCCAGGAACCTCGTAGCCACACATGCATGCACCCATTTGAACACTACATAGCTGTAGGCGCACATGCACTGCCACCCGAAGAGGAATAAAATCGCGAGAACGTTCTATTCATTTTATCTTTTGACCTCAACCCCACCAAGCCACCAAACGCCGCCGGCGAGCCCGAGATCGAGCTCAGCCATGGTTGCTCTGCCTCTGTACTGAGACAGGGACCTCATTTCGAGAATTTAAACAACTATAAGATTCAAGGAAAAATGATGAATTACCCCCCGAACTATTGCAGTAGTATGATTTACCCCCATAAACTATAATACTGGACATTTGACACCCCAAACACTTAAAACCGGATAAATTACAACCCGATCTCGATTCAAAGCGGTTTTCAGCCTACATGGCACACACGTGGCGGTACAGTCAGCAAAAAAAAAACAAATAAAACAGGTGGGGCCCACCTGTCAGCATTACTTTTTCACTCCTCTCTCCCCCTCTCTCTCGGTGAACAAAGCAGGCGGCGGGCGGGCGAGGAGCCGACTGCCGACGGGTGGCCGGCGGCGGGCGGTGGGCGGGCGAGGAGCCGACGCCGATGGGCGGCCGGCGGCATGGATGGCTGTGGGCGGGCGAGGAGTCGACGCCGACGGGCGGCCGGCGGCGGGGATAGGCCGGATGGCGGCGGGGATGGGCCGGATAGCTGCGGGCGGCGGGCTAGCGAGGAGCCGACGCCGACGGGCGGCCGGCGGTGGGGATGGCTGCGGGCGGCGGGCGGCTGGCGGCAAGGATGGCTGCGTGCGGTAGACAAGGAGACGAGGCCGGAGGCGGGTGGGCGCGGAGGCGGCTGTGAGCGGCGGTAGATGAGGTTGGCGCTCGATGAGGTTGCGGCGGTAGAGCTCGAGGATGCTAGCCATGGCGGCCTCCCGCTCCTCGGTCTCCTCGTCGTCCGTGTCGAGCTCCTTCACCGCGAACGTTGTCGTGTGCATGTTCCTCCCCATTACGATCTCCCTCCTCGTCGCGACCCCTCCCCTCCCTCCGCCCTCGTCCGCCCAAGCGAGCCACCGCCCTCGCCCCTGTCCGCCGTCGCTGCCGCATCCCACGCCACGCTGGCTCTGTGTCCCATGTCGCCGCCGCCTCCTCATTTCGCGCGCCCGCCAGCTCTGTGTCCCAGGTCGGGCTCCGCCATCGCGCGCCGCTGACCGCCCGCGCCCGCCCCCTCGTCTCGCGCCGCCTCCTCGTCCCTCGCCGCTGCCCACTGCCCTGCCCCGCATGCCGCCGTCCGCCCGTCCGCCGCTCCCTCGTCTCGCGCCGTCGCCATGCACCGACGCCTCCGCCGCTGCATGCAGTCGTCCATCGTCCAGCGCCCGCCCACTCGTCTCGCACCGCCGCCTGCCCATCGCCCAGCCCCGCGCGCTGCCATCCGCTCGTCCGCCGCTCCCTCGTCTCGCGCCGCCGCCATCCACCGGGAGGCCCCCGAGGTCGATGCGGCCGCAGCACGCAGCCTCCCAGCGGCTGCCGCCTCACCTCACCTCGCCCCTGCCCGCGCTTGCTGCCTCCGCCGCGTCTGAACTCTGAAGGAGAAGAGAGAGAGAGGGATAGAAGAGAGAGAGGGGGATAGGAGAGAGAGAAAAAAAAC